CAGACTTGCAAGGTAGAATTCGAGTCATGGTAGTTGGAGTCGGGAGGAAACATTTAGGAACTAGAGGAAAGTTGTATTTTTCATCATTGCTACATCGCACCCAGTCTGGCTCATCTCCTCCCCGAGACCCCTTTGCAAGGGGATCTTCAGTGCCCTACAAATGGGCTTTGGGTCCCCACTTCTCACTCCTCCCCACATTCGCTATGGTAAGATTTTTTGTTTAGATGATGCCTGATCCCTGATCCCTTATGGGAACAGAAAACCTTACATTTCTCCCCCAGACAGCTGGTGGGTTTAAACCACCCACCTTGCAGTTATCAGTCCAATGCAGAACCCACCGTGCCACCAAGAACCCCAATTGCTACGCATTAGTGGTCATTTCTATATGTGTTTTAGGTGTTTTGATTATTAGTTGAACTGATCCTCTAAGCCAATGGTTCTCAACCTTCCTAATGTCATGACCCTTTAATATAGTTCCTTATGTTGTGGTAACCTCCCCAACCATACAATTATTTTCATTGTTACTTCATAACTGTAATTTTACTACTGTTCTGAATCAGGCAACCCCTGTGAAAGGGTTGTTTGACCCCAAAGGGGTCGCGACCCACAGGTTGAAAACCACTGCCCTAAGCCAAGGCACCTAAAGCTATAAAGAAGTAAAAGAGGACACAGTAGTATTTCTAGGTTAATAAAATCATTAGGCTGGTGGCTCAAGGCGGGGATCTTTTGTGAGCAGTTGAAAACTCTCCCCACTGTGCCATCAAGTTTCCAGCATACGCATGTTCACCTAGATTTAAGTAAACCTTCATCTCTCTTTCACTCTGGACATCAAGGCAATCACCAAGTCCATTTTTCACTTATGTTGCTCTCTTCCATGCTGTATTTCTCATAGTTGCAAAGTATTCTTTGAACAAATTGATTCTGAACTGTTGGTATTGCTGAACCAGCTTATATTCCATTATAACACTAGGGCTCCCCCAGTAAAATGATTTAAAAAAAAAACAAATAAACACAAGGGCTCCTAGTTACCCTGATATAGTTTACAGTATAATTCCGAGATAGCAATTCATTGTATTTGAGTTTATTCCCATTCATAGGAAACCTATAGGAGGGGGAACCAATTACAAGGATCTACATATAACCTCCTCCCTGGGGCACAGACAACAGAAAAGTGGGTGAAGGGAGACATTGGACAGTGCAAGATATGACAAAATAATAATTTATAAATTATCAAGGGTTTATGAGGGAGGGGAAGGGAGGGGGAAAATGAGGAGCTGATGCCAGGGGCTTACGTGGAGAGCAAATGTTTTGAGAATGATGAGGGGAGGGCAATGCATGTACAAATGTGCTTTACACAATTGATGTATGTATGGATTGTAATAAGAGTTGTATGAGCCTCCAATAAAATGATTAAAAAAAAAGAAAATGATGATGTCAACAAATGTACACATGTGCTTGACACAATGTATGTATGGATTGTGATAAGAGCTGTAAGGGTCCCCAATAAAGTTATTTTTTAAAAATCATGAAAGTCACACACTTCACTCGACAAAAAAAAAAGAAAGCCTATAATACAGAGTAGAACTGATCTATAGGAGATCTGAGGATTTAAACATGTACAGAAGCAGACTGATTCTCTTTTCTCTTTTCCTTAATTTATTTGTTTATTTATTTATTTATTTGATTCTCTTTTCTTCTGCTGAGCAGCTGGTGGGTACTTACCAGTAGCCTCTCACTTAGTTCACTTTACAGCCAGGTCCTTTTCCTGGTACATTGTAGACATCTAATAAAACATTGCTTGAATATGTAGAAAATCTCCATATGGAGCATGGATTACTATTTTGGATATGACCCCTAGGCTCGTTGTCTATTATGTGGTCCAATATTGCTTGATTGGAATAATTTGTGATGAATTTCTGTTAAGCTTTATTTGTAGAAACAAGTCCTCCCCCCACTCCCCCGCCTTAATTGTTTTAATTCTTCCATTTTTCTGACTGAGATAACGCCCTCCCCACTCCCTGCCCCGGATCATCCCTACTCATAGAATCAAACTTAATACACTATTCTAGTAACTATAATGGCTTACCCTTCTAGTTTTAATCTCCTTATTCCACTCTCACCTTATTCAACTATAGGTAATTTAAAATTATTTTGTGAAGAATAAAGCTTTATATTTGTTGAGTATTCAAAGTGTAATAAAAGAATCAAATAGACATGTAATGAAATTAGCACTATCTGGCATGAATGCTGATATGGGCATACATGTTACTTATAAACTTAATTGCAATATTTTTGTAAATAAAGACTCACTAGCAACATTCATGACAATCCTATGTATGCAAAATAGAACTGCATTACAGATTGTTTTTCAAACAATAATGTTATACAAAATAGTACTGCATTACATCACCAGGGCTCCTGTTTGTTAGCCCAGAGTATTTTAAACATATTTGTTATCTAGTGTATTACAACTAGCTGCTTGTTTTTTTACAGAACACTAACAAGTGCTGGCAAAAACCTGCAAGATAACTTTTTGAAGGCCCTGGCCGGGAGAGAAGAGGACAATCGTACTGGAAAAGTGAGCGTGAGTACCTTTCAGCCAATAGCTAAAAGTATATATGATTTATGTATTATAGGAATGTGTAGAACAGAGTTGTTATTTTTAGTTTCCATTTATATCTCTAGAAATAGATAAATAGTTAAAAACGGGATTCTAAATATCCATTACAGAGAAAAATGCCTATACTAGGCAGATTAGTTGTCTCCACTTTTGAGCTAGCCCTAGATTGAAACTCCTTGCTTCTTTGGTTTATCTTACACACGTTCCTCCAGATTTGATACATACCTATATAATATGAAGATATTGAATAATTCCTCCCTTACAAGATGTGTAATAGACTACATGATAGAGAAGTACAAGGTTGAATCACAGAGAATATGCTTTTGCTTTATTTAAATAGACTAGATCAAATACATGAATATTTTTAATATGATTTGTAATACATATTTAATTTTACATTTTGTCAATATTGTATGTAGTGATATCTGTTTTTGTAAATCTTCATATTTTGATATCAAAGATAATGAGGAAGACAAACACTGATGCTGTCTGAAACTGTAATAAGTAACTGAATGATATGCAGTAAAATAATCAGAAGAAATATGATGCAAAAATTTTAGTAGGTCTATTTTACCAATTTTTCTCAATAAAGAGCTAAGACTTTTCCTCACTGTCAGAGTCATTGAAAGTTTCTTATGCCAACTAAATTTTTATGTATTCATTGTAATCCCCCCCACCAATAAACAAAACAAAACATAGAAAACTATTACCTTGATTAGATAATTGAAAAGAATTTACCCAGACTTACAATCAGAAAATGTTTCTTTGAGGACTAGCCTGAATGTGATTTAAAATAGGGTTAGAATATCTGAAAATGGAAAAGCATGTATAAATATCTATAAGTCCAGCAGGTTGCTGCTAAGATGTGTTCAGTAAGGTTGAATATAGGGCAAGTGGTATTTGAGGCTGGAAAAATGAATAGAGATTAGATTCTTGAGATCCTCAAAAATTATAACAAAAACATTTGAATTTTATCTGATTATTTAGACAAGGGTAAGCTAAAATAAATGCATTGGTTTGGAAGCAGGTAGACTTGCTTGCTTTTCTTTAATATTTGACAAAAACAAATTTGTGGCACAGTAAAGGTAGAAAGCATATTCCATTGCATTGAAAATTTGAATCACAAGTGAAACAATAAAACCAGCAAGCACAAACAACTTTAGAGAGGCAGAGCCCAGATTTCTAATCACAATGGTAGACTTTTCTAAAAAAATCTTTTTAATATGAGTATTGTGTTAGTCTGGGTAGACTAGAGAAACAAATCCATGGACACACACACATATGTGTATAAGAAAGATATTTATATACAAGAGCAATTGAACATTGAGAAAACATCCCAGCCCAGTCCAGATCAAGTCCATAAGTCCGATATTAGCCCACATGTCTAATACCAATCTATAAAGTCCTCTTCAGACTCAAGAAACACATGCATTGACGCCAAATGTAGAAGATCACAGGTCAGTGGGTAGAAAGTCTTTGGATCCAGTGGCATTGAAACCATCTCAGTGCTGGTTCTCTGCATCAGGGTGGGTCCACGTGTCTTGTCAGCTGCTAAGTCTCCTAGGGAGTGTCAGAGAGAGAAATGTCTCCTGCCTCCAAGGAGGAAGTAATGGATTTCTCAGAATTCTCAGGAGAAGGCCACACCCACACAGAGGCCTCATGGGCTATGATCTGATTGATAAGCTAGACTCCGCCCCTTCACTCTTAATCCTCAAATTGACCAACGATTATATATCTACCACAGGTATCTTACTGGTATGTCCTTCAACGAGGCGTAATAGAATACTTCCATCAATAACCCACATTGGAAGATTATCAGTTATGACAGGTTTCCTATGTTCTCTTACCCAGGTCAAATGAACCTGTGTGTTCTGTGAAGTACAGCAAAGCAAAACCTGTATCACATCCCACTTATCATTTGCTTTGATTCAAGTCACCACCGTGTATTAATAAATTATTATAATAGCTTTCAAAATTAAATTGTTCCTATTTTCCTTGCCCAACTCCTATCCATTTTCCACTCACTCAAGAGCTGTTTCTTGCACACCATCTCAATCCTGACACTCTTTTGGTCATTGGGACATGAGATAATGTCCAAGGCCATGACCTTACAGGGTTTCTATTTTAGAGGGGGAAAGAAGGAAAATAAGTAAGACAAACAAATGTCAAGTAATTAATTTTATCCTTAAGTAAATGATACTGAGAATGTAAAATAGGGAGATTGGATAATTACATTGGATAGTTACATTTGATAATAACATTACCGAGGCATCACTGACTGGGACTTGAATATGATGAAGACAGCCACGAAGCTGGAAGGGAGACATGCCCAGTTCAGGTATAGAGTTAGGAGGGAGAGATCCCACGCAGAAGGGAAAACAAATGGAGAGCCTATGAGATATCAGTACTCATAGCACATTCAAGAAATGCCAAAAAGACTTGAATGACTGACTCCGTGAATATGGAGACAGAGAATATTAGGGGGGGAAAGCATGCATCTAGAGTGTAGGTTATCAACCTTAACTAATTTTTTGAACCACCTGGGGGATCTAGGGAAATTACGGATTCCTGGGCTCCATGTAGAAGAAACTGAATCACAATCTTTAGGGGGAAGAGCCGAGGGGCCTGTGATCTCACTAGATCCTATTATGATTCCAATAATCAACCAAGTTTGGGAAACTAAGTATTTAGAGCATATAGATGTTTTAAAAACTTGGCCTTTATTCTCAGTGTAATAGAAAGTCCATGGAGGATCTTAAGCAGAAATTTGACCTGGTCTGGTTTACACTTTAGAAAGACTGTTATCATTTCTGCTCTGTACTTGCAGGAAGACTAGAATGGAAGGAAAACCAAACAAACAAAAAACTAAAGGAAGGTCCTTATTAAACTGGGCAGAGTGAATTCTTCATACAAGATGTAGTTGAGAGGAGTAATGTTACTGAACTTTGCCTGTGTTTTGGAGGCAGAGCAAACCAATTCCCTGGTGGATTGAATGGGGAATGTTAAAGAAAGAGGGAATTAGAGTAGCTTCAAGTTTGGGGCTGAACAATTGGATGATGATGGTGCCATTTACTGTGATAGGGGATTTTGTGAGGAATGAAGATTTTAGGAAATAATAGCTCTGTTCAGTGTTTGTTAATTTTGTATTGTTTTAGAAATACTAATAGAAAAGTCAAGTCATTAATTTAAAAAAAAATTTAGCTTAGAAAAGAGAAAGTTGAATTAGGGAATATAAAAAGAAACAATTTGTTTCTGCTTTGTTTTGATTATGTATGTTTTTCTGTATATGAAATCCAGGCTAGGTAAACCTATAGAGACAACAACTGAATTATAGCTTCAAAGAGACATGGCAGGAGTAGTTGGTAGGCAATGGAAAGCTAACACCAAAGGGTATAAGAAAGAAGAAATGTCCTGGAATTGAAAGTGGTGATGGTTGCACAACTATTGCGAACTATTGAAATGCATAATATGTAAATTGTATGCAGCTGAAACAGTGAAAAATAAATAAATAAATCTAAAATAAATAATTAACTGTCTTCAAAAAAGGGAAGTCATTGTTTGAGAACTTTTGCAGTTAGATACAGTATTGAATGATAGCTTGTGCACAGCCTAGGAGTTTTTGTTCCAAATGGATAATATTAAGCTATGTTTTATCTTAAAATTAATTAGGAGTTAATACATATATCACATCGTTGCATAGTTCAAGCACATTAAGTATTGCACAATTGCTACCACAATCAGTTTCCAGACACTTTCTTCCTGGATTCCGTTACGTCATCTCCCTTTTACCATCCCACCCTCCTGCTATCCCCTCTCGTGGTCTGGTGGCACTGGCCTTGCTATGATGCTGGAAGTTTGACAGTGGTATTTCAGATACCATCAGTGTTATCCATGCTAGACTAGCTTCAGAAGAACTTTTTCCACACGGAGACAGGCTGGAAAGAGAGTTCTGAAAATCGATTTCCTCAAATTAGCTAATGCAAACAGTATACATAAAAATAGAGTATTATCCAATCTAATGCTGCAAGATGAGCTCACTAGTCTGGAAAAGCCTGCAAAACCAAACCCATTGCTTCCAAGGTGATTCCTAGTGGTAGTGCCTCCATAGGACAGAGTACAGATACTACTTAGGGTTTCCAAACTGTAATATTTTTGAAACCAGACTGCCAAATATTTTTCTTGTGAAGCAGCTTGTGGGTTCAAGTCATTGAGATTTTAGTTAGCAGCTAAATGCCTAGTGACTTCACCACTAGGGCTCCTTGCCTACACTAGAAGGCACTCAATGAATGTATTGGCTGCAACAATGGACTGAAAAACATGAACAACCATAAAAATGTTGCAGAAAGAGGTAATATTTCACTTTGTTTTTAATGGGGTTACTATGACACATAACTGCCCTGCTGGCAACAAATAACAATATTAGCTGATGGTTATTGACTTGAAAATTGTATCTTGTCCAATTATGAAAACAAATTACGGTCACTAATTTGGACCTTTGGATCTTTTTATATTATCATAAGCATAATCTGTAATGTCTACCAAAGGGGTGGCACTTATGATGGATTTTCAATTTCCCTGTATTGTCTTCGTGAATATACTAAATGGTTTTATAGAAAACTTTTAAAAACAGAATACAAAATATTTTAGATAGATCTAATTATTAGAATCGTAAGCTTACTTAAAAGCCATTTACTGAATGGATAGGCAGATCTTAAAGTGATCTTATAAAATATTAAATATTCATGGGATTTGAATCTCTTTTAATTCACTTTTGGCAAACATGAGGTTGACAGCCACATATGGCCAATAGTTAACTCAATGAGGGAAATTATTATTTCTTAGCCAGTAAGTTATTCTTACATAATGTGTGGGTAAAAATAAATTAAGGAATTCATTTCAGAGGCATATTTGCTACTCTATTTGGTCCATCTTATTAAAAGTACATGCTAGAAAAAAATTATCATATCATTTTATAACTCATGTAATTGATTTATATGATCTCATAAGGCTTGGGGCCCTAATGGCACACTGGTTAATGGACTTGGCTGCTAACTGAAAGGTGGGGAGTTTGATCCCCAAAACTGTCTTATGGGAGAAAGATGTTACAATCTGTTTTCCTAAAGATTTATAGCTTTAGAAACCCTACAGAGTACTTCCACTCCATCCTACAGGTTGCTATGAGTTGGAAATGGACTCCACAGCAGTGGATTTTGTTCTAATGAGGCTGGAAGGACTAATTCCACAGCAGTGTTGGAGTAATTTTCTTTAAATGTAGTTAGGAAGTTTACATTGTTTCATTCATCCTACACTAACAGCTTTTTATTTTGTTTTCACATTTAATGATCTCAGGTTTCAAGTCTATTAGACAGTGCTGATTTCTGTTTGGGTGTCCCGCTTCTCCCTGTGGTACACCCACTGCAGTGTTTCTTAGCTTTTTCCATTTAGACCTTGGCTTTATTCTTCTGTAGAGTTTGTAGCTCCGAAAACCATCCATCTCGCACTCCCATGGACCCTGTAACCCTAAACTTCCAATCAATCCTTAAGTTATTCATTTGCTTATTATATACATTCTTATCATTCCCCAAATCCTACTACTTTGACATGTAGTCCCACAGCTATATCCCGGGAAGAAATAGGCTTTTATGGTAATTAGAACTTTATAATTACTACATTAAGAATAAAATTTCTTGAATAATATACGTTTTTAAAGCTCCTAGTGACTCACTAATTCAGATACTGTTAGCATAGTTTGAACAAATCCTTTTTAAAAAGTCTGTTTAAGGCAAAAACACTCTGGTTGTAGTCAAGAATCAATACTCTTTATGAATGTCACGCAATTTCACACACATAAACACATATTTAAATATTCAATATCTTACATAATAATGCATATTTTATTACATACCCCCAAATTCCTGTTTTTAATTGCTATGATATTTCATGTATTTCCATCGGATGAAACATTGAACTTCCTATGATATTCATGTAGCAAGATGCTTACAAATATTTCTGTTGTGTATTGCTTCAAATGGTTGAAGTAATGAATATATTTTCAAGAATTGTAACTTGAATTCTATTTTCACACTGACCTGGCAGGAGAGAGTCCATGATCATGAGGGTGGTTTCCCCGGGGGAGACTGTTCATTGCACTCAGATGTGCTGACCCCTATGGTTTCTCCAATGCAGGCACTCAGCTCCATACTTTGTGGTAGCCCCTAAAACAATTATATTTCTAATATGAGTAATTTATGTGTGAAAATAGTTCTACCTCTTTTCTGAAAATTAAAAAATGTCTAAAAGGATAGATTGATTCATTTAATCATTTCCCTTTCAGTCATAGTCAGGTTGTATTTATTTCCGAAGAAGGAATGTAGTTTTCTGGTTGCTCACATGATAGCGTGTCTAACATTGCCATCACAATAATGCCTTTATTATGTATACATTTATGATAAGTGCTCAGGAAAGCATGCTAAACATGATCTTGTCCTTGATATGTGTAAAATCATATGTGCAATAAATCACAGTGATGTAGGTGAATGTAGAGCGAGACAATCCCAAGTTAAACACATTTTGCAAATAGGTGAGATATTACAAAATGTATTTTCTGAGAAAATTATATGGAAATTACACTTTTAAAAGGGGGTGAGAATAAGGGATTTTTTTTCCTATGACTTTCAGAAATGTGTTAATAGATGCGGTAACATCAGAGAATGTTTGAATGAAGATATAATGTCTTAAGAATATTTTATGCTAATGATAGGGGCTTAGGCAAAATTTAGAGTAATGATTGCATGAAGAAAGGACTACTTAGAAATTAAAGAGATAAACTTATTCCTTATCAAGTAATTCCCAGTTTTTATCTAGATTTCTCAGAGGGATGTTTCTAGTTGAATAATGTGTTTTTCTCTCCCACTTTGGTATCTGTGACTTAATTATCCTAGTTTTCCTACATTTGATCTGATATAAGTGGGCAGTAAAGAAATTGGATTCCCAAAATTGGGTGGATAAAAGCATAAAGTGGCTGGCTTACAAACTTTCATAGGTATGGGAATATATTCATAAGAATATGTTCATAGGATTATGGTGTAGGTGTTCACAAAAGTATAGGATACTTTTGTTCACTTATAGAAAGTTATGTTTAAATGAGGGTTGCACATAATGAATTGTATGCACTTTAGTTTTATCCTGTTAGGTACGGATATGATTTTATTATTGTTTGTTTGAAAATTCTATATGGATAAAGAGTTTTATGAGACTGTCAAATTGACAAGGGGTGGTCTGTGGTAGTTACATAATCTGTTGTTAGTTTGAGACTTAAGTGTGAAAGGGTGGAGTTTAGCCTGTCAATCAGGTCAAAGCTTGATGACCTCATTTGGAGGCACTAAGGAGATAAATAGCATGTTGGAAGTGGGGCACACGCTCACTCCCTGTGAGACATTACTGAGGATGAGTCTGATGGTGCTACGCTGATGCAGCCAGAGCCCTGGGAGCTGCAGGAGCCATGTGGAGACCCTTGCCAGCACTGAGATGCTTCTACAACCACTGGATCCCCAGACTTTACACCCACTGGCCTGTGATCTTCCTGCATTCGGCATTATTGTGTGGCTGTGTGAGTCTTAAAAGGAATATGGACTAGTATAGGACATATGGGCTAATTTTGGACTTGTGGACTTGAGCTGGGCTAGTATGTTTTCTCAATATTCAATTGTTCTTGAATATAAAGCTCTTTCCTATACACATATGAGTCTCCCTGGATTTGTTTCTCTAGTCTTCCCGGACTAGCACAATCCAAACACATGCTTTCACTGACTCTATGCTTCTTGCTACCAAAACAGGAGCCAGGATATCTTATTATCCAAATCTAACTACTAATTTATTCAATTACTCAGCATAAGGATAATGATCATTGGTTTTGTGGAATTATATTTACTTGCTGGAGATCAAATAGGTAATGAATGCCTTGTGGAACTTAGTAATAATAAAAAGATATAAAAATGACACCATAATAAGGATTGGGAAGATAAAACACACAAAAAATTTCTTATTGTGTGTGCATAAGTCGAGTAGGAGTAAATATAATCGTATTTCCAGACTGAGTAGATCAATATGTTCACAGTCCAGATGCATTGGACGGCCCAAACCCAGAAAACAGAGGTGTAATAGGTTGGACAGCTAACCCAGATCAGCAATTCGAAGCCACCAACCCCTCTGCAGGAGGAAGAAAAGGCTCTCGAGTCTCATACAGAGTTACAGACTCAGAAGCCAACAATGCAGTTCCGCCCTGCTCTGTAGGTTTGCTGTGGGTCCGAGTTGACTCCACGGTTGTGAGGGTTTTTTGTTTGTTTTTTTAAGTAGCAACTGGGGGTCCCTCCCAGTAATGCAGAGGTTCATGCAGTGGACTGCTACCTCTTATAAGGTCAGCAGTTCGAAAAGACCAGCTTCTCCAGGGAAGGATTTTTATTCCCATAAAGATATATGCAAATATATTTATATATGAGGATGGGGAAATAGATCTACGTGCATATATTTATAGGTTTAGTATTAAGGTTACAGAAGGACATTGGACCTCCACTCAAGTACTCCCTCAATGCAAGAATACTTTCTTCTATTAAATTGGCATTCTATGATGCTCACCTTCCTGACTCAACCACTGAAGACAAAGCTGGTGAATAAGCAAATGTGGTGAAGAAAGCTGATAGTGCCCGGCTATCAAAAGATATAGCATCTGGGGTCTTAAAGACTTGAAGGTAAACAAGCTGCCATCTAGCTCAGAAGCAACAAAGCCCACATGGAAGAAGCACAGCACCCTGTGTGATCACGAGGTGTCGAAGGGATCAGGTATCAGGCATCATCAGAAAAAAAAAATCTTACCATAGTGTATGAGTGGGGTAGTGCAGAGTGGAGACCCAAAGCCCATTTGTAGGGCACTGGAGATCCCCTTGCAGAGGGGTCTCGGAGGAGACAAGCCAGTCAGGGTGCGATGTAGCAACGATGAAAAATACAACTTTCCTCTAGTTCCTAAATGCTTCCTCCTCCCCTCCACCCCCACTATCATGATCCGAATTCTACCTTGCAAGTCTGGCTAGACCAGAGGATGTACCACTGGTACAGATAGGAACTGGAAACACAGGGAATCCAGGGAGGATGATCCCTTCAGGACCAGTGGTGTGAGGGGCGATACTGGGAGCGTAGAGGGAGAGTGGGTTGGAAAGGGGGAACCGATTACAAGGATCTACATATACCCTCTTTTCTGGGGCACGGGCAACAGAAAAGTAGGTGAAGGGAGATGTAAGACAGGGCAAGATATGACAGAATAATAATTAATAAATTATCAAAGGTTCATGAGGGAGGGAGGAGTGAGGGGAAAAATGAGGAGCTGTTTCCAGGGCCTTAAGTGGAGAGCAAATGTTTTGAGAATGATGAGGGCAATGCATGTACAAATGTGCTTTACACAATTGATGTATGTATGGATTATGATAAGAGTTGTATGAGCCCCTAATAAAATGATTTAAAAAATTGCAGTCTCAAAACCCCAAAGGGGCAGTTGTACCCTGTACTATAGGGTCACTGTGAGGTAGGATTGACTCAATGGCAGTGAGTTTGTTTTGGGTTTGGAGACAACACGGAAGTTGAGCCAATCCCCACACTCACTGTCTCTGAGTCAATTCTGACTCATAGCACCCATTTAAGACAGGTTGTAATGGCCTCTGTTGGTTTCCAAGGCTGTAAATGTTTATGGGAGCAGAGAGCCTTCATTTTTGTCCCCAGAGCATATAGTGTGTTTGAACTGTTGGGCTGTTGATTAGCAGCCAAATGCATAACCTCTTATGCCAACAGGGCTCCTAAGAAGATGTCAGAAACAATGAATTGATGATCATTGATTGGTGAATTAATAGAAAATTTGACACAATGTATTGATAGTTAGCCTATGACTGAGAGAGGTGTGAAAAGCAGAAGGATTGGCATTTGGTAGCTCTGAGTCTTACAGATACGTAGGTGGCGTTGCCACACCTTGAGAGATGTACTAAAAGAAAGTCAGGAAGGAATCCCAGAGATTCTGAGTCTGATTTTGGACAAGAGTAGCCTTTGTGGTTATGGGTCGCACTGCCAAGTGCCAGGTCATCAGTTCAAAACCACCAGCTCCTCCACTGGAGAAATATTAGATTTTCGACTCCATAAAGAGTTACATTCCCAGGCACTCACAGAGGTAGATCTACCCTGTCCTATAGGGCACTGGAAGTTAGAATCCCCTCAATGACAGTGAGTAAGTAGAGAGTGATATCTATTGAAAAGACTGAAATGTTAAATAGGTAAATGCAGAAAAAACAAAAAACATCTCCTGAATCTACCCAAATATGATTTTCCACACTACTGGCAGATAGCTTGGTAGAGAAGAGGATCAGTGATAAAGAGGAAGATCCTTGACCAGATGGATTGACACAAGGGCTGCAACAATGGCTTCAAACATTAGCAAGAACTGTGAGGATGGCATAGGGCTGACTGGACCATGCTTTATTCTGTTGTGCAGGGATTGCTATGAGTCAGAAAAGACTTGATGACACCTTACAGCAGCATCTATCAAATTGTTTGCTGTTTGATCAATTACAATTCATAGTGACCCCTGATGTGTCAGCATAGAACTGGCTAAAATTTTGGAAGTAAATCTCTAGGGCTTAAAAAAAGCACCCCCAGGTGGACTTAAAACTCCAACCGGTTTGCTAGAAGACGAGTCGGTTAACAATTTACACCACCCAGGGATTCCATCCCTCAGTAAATTAAAATTAATTTATAGCTAAAATTAATTGTTGTCTCTTACACACCATAGATTTCACATTTCATTGGTTACCAAAATTGTACCTTGAAAATATCTTTTAATTCAAGGGAGAGGGCAAGTAATCCAAGAGATGCACAACAGCCTGATTTAAGGAATCTAATGTGTCTTTGCTACGCTGTAGTTTTTGTTTGGTACCCTTGAGTTTGTTCCCACTCATAATGACCCTATGAATAATAGAACCCGGCACTGCCAGTCCTGCTTCATCTTTAAAATTGTTATGTTGGAGTCCATGGTTACAGTTACTGTGTCACTCTATCTTGTGTAGGGAGTCCCTCTTTTTGCTGACCCTCTACCTTACAAAATATGATTTCCTTTTCCAGGGACTTGTCTATTCTGATAACATGTCCAAAATATGTGAGATGAAGTCTGGCCATCCTGGCTTCTAAAGAGCATTTGGACTGTTCT